GCTCTCTTTTAAAAAAAATCATTTTCTTGGGGGCTTGTACAACTCTTTTTTTTTTCCTTAATCATTTTCTTGGAGGCTCGTACAACTCCCATCACAATCCATACACACACATCCATTGTGTGTCAAGCACATTTGTACATTTGTTGCCCTCATCATTCTCAAAATATTTGCTTTCCACTTGAGCCCTTGGTATCAGCTCCTCATCCCCGCCCCAAACCCTTTACTTAATTTATAAATTATTACTATTTTGTCATATTTTACACTGTCCGATGTCTCTGAATTAGTTCTCTTTAGTGTCACTTTGCACCCATCACCTTCAGCTTTAGAGTTCAAATGTAGCACTTCTTTTCTTTTCCAACAAACTGCTTGAAGTATAGATTGTATCAGTTTTTAAAATAAGAACCCTCTGATGAAGAGGCACCTTGCAGAATGACTGTAGGCTGTAGGGTTACTGCTTAAAAAGGATGAGGTGGTATTTGGTACCAGTCTGGGGACTCTGAGACCAGCCTTGGCTTGAGTCTCTCAGACTGTGACGTAAATCATAGTCAATTCTAGAGTATTGTAGATGTCAGTAATAATTTGCTGTTGGTTTTTGATGGTCAGAAGGAAGACTGATGGAAACCCTAGTTGAGAATATCTGCAGGAGAGGAAATCTATTCACTCAAGAAGAGTCCATTGAGGAGTTACCATTGGCACTAGGGATTGCACCGATATTCGTGCCTATGTGCAGAATAAGTAGACTGTAAATATTTTAGGTAAATATTTTGATGTCTTTCTTTCACAGAAACTGCTAGAAATGGTATAATGTGGCTGACTTATTCAAATTGGAGTGAATGGTCCCTAATCATTGTCTGGCACCTATCAATTGTCTTGGAATTCATCGCCCACCATTATTGGGGTTCCCCAAATGGGGTTCCTACTTAAAGAATGACCAGCAGGCCCTGGTACCAAATGGTCTAGGACCTTATTGCTAGTGCTGTCGTTTCAACTCATGCCCCCTGAGGCCAAGGTGCGTTCCTGGAACTAGTCTCCCGGCTCTCAGCCTCATCCTCAGTTTAGACTCTTCCAGGGGCACAATGGAAATGGGGCTACCTTGATCTGCTCTCCATCTGCCCCTCTCTGATTTCATTGGCTTGGATGGACCTGGGCACCAATATTTTCCCTGCTAATTTTATTGTGCTAAAATAGAGCAAGATGTTGCCATCTTAACCATTGAAGTGCATAATTCTGGGACACTAGTTTCACCGTGTTGTGTTCCCGTCACCACTATCCATTGTGAAAGTTTGATTTGCATCACTCCCCTTTAGCCCTAGCGCCCGTTTCCTCCCATACCAGCATCTGGTCACCAGTGATAGACTTTCATTTCTCTGTATTTGCATCTGTTCAAGGTTTCATACTAGTAGGGCCATAAATAACTGTCCTTTGCAGCCTGATGTATTTCACTCAGCGTAATGCTCTCCAGGTCCATTGGTATTGCAGCAGGTATCAGAACTTCCCTTCTCTTTATTACTGAACAAGGGATGGGTTACCCTTTGGGCTGCTAACTGCAAGGTCAGCAGTTTGAGTCCACCAACTACTCCCTTGGGAGAAAGATGAGGCTGTCTGCTCCCAGATTGACAGCCTCAGAAACCCTATGGACAGTTCTAATTTGTCCTATAGGGTCATTAGAAGTCAGAATTTGCCTACTGCTGGACAGTTGTTTGCACCTCTCTAAGTTCCTGCTTTCCTGTTTCCTGGGTGAATACCCAGGACTTAGTATTCAGTCACATGATCATCCCATGGGTAACACTCTGACGTACCGCCAAAAGGTTTTCCCCTGTGGCCGCACCATCTTGCATTCCTATCATCAGTAATGGGAAGCTCCCAGTTTCTCTGCATCCTCACCAACCCTGGTTAGTGCCCCCTTTTCTCTTAGCCTCCTTCGTGGGGAGGGGAGGGGAAGGCATCCGTGCGTGTCATAAGCTCTCAGTTGTGACCGACTGAAGTCACGGGAAGTTCGCCCTCCTCCAGCCCATCACTGTGTGGCCGTGTGGCCGTATGCCAGGCTTAGCTACAGTATTCTTATCATAGCTGTTTTTAGATGTGATTTTTATTTATCTTTTTCTGAAAATTGAACTCTTTTTTTAGCACCTTTTTTCTGAAGAGCTCTTAATTGCTGTACTTAGAACTTCCAAACAATGAACATTTGTCACGCATCAAAATCAAAATAGCGGAGCAAAGAGCTGGCCCTCAGTGACTGGGCGGGCTGTGGCATCTTCTCCTGTGAGAGCCACAGGTGGGGCTGCACGGTGCCTCTGTTCTGGGCCCCAATATTGAGTGACCCCAATATTATTATTATTATTATTGAATAAGCATTCAGGGTTGTACTCAGTGCAGCACACTTTGCGCATCACACGCCGCCTGGGCCCGCCCTTCCCATGGCCTTTTGTTTAGGAGGAGTTGCCCCCAACCAACCCCACCGCAGCTCCCTGATGTCCTTGTTCCTGGAGATTCTGTACTGGTTTTGGGCCTGGGTACTCACACTGTGACCTGCCTCGTCACCCATGTGGGCTTACATGACTCAGTAAATGAAGGTAGCTCTGGTTTCTGGAGCCCTGGGATCTGCTCTGTGGCTCCTATTCCCATCTTGGTTGCTTTGGGTCTTGTTCTCTAGCCCGGCCACCAGGGTGCAGACAAAACAAAGGGAAGCAGCCAGAGCAACAGAAGTCCATGCCTGGCAATACATTGTATCTTGTTTTGGAAGAGGGGGAAAAAAGTATGTGTGAGAGAGTGGGGTGGGAGGGGGCTTGGAGGAGTGGAGCGAGAGCACGTGGGTCTGGGCGAGGGCGGGGTGAAGGCAAGCTAGGGGGGTGTAGAACTTGGTTAGAGTCTTTAGTCCTCAGTGAGATTCTTTCAAAAGATTTATTTCTGGATTTCAATGACTTATGTGATTCCCGTTGCCCGTTTCTGTGAATAATCAGCATTTGGTTGTTGTGTGAATAATAACACAGAGCACATTCAGCCCCCTGCATTGTACCATTTTAAGCAGTGATTGTAGGCCTGCAGGCATGTGCTATTTACAAAGCTGCATGGGTAGTGAAGACAGAAATGGCAATGAAGAGTAATGGTTGACATTTATGGAACCTTCTCAGTGTATTAGGCATTGGTGTTTGGAGCATCATCTCATTTAATTTTCAGAAGTACGCTTTGAAGCACTAGGTCAAGTGTGATGTCCATTTTACAGAGAGTGGAATAGGCTCTGAAACAGTGTGGCAAGTGAGCAGTGGGTTCAGGTGGGCAGGATGAGGGCGTGTGTTCTCTCGCTTTCCTGTGTGTGCCATGTGGGGCGCCAGCACGACTGCATCACCCTTTGTCATTGGCCTGGGAGATGTCAGGAGAGAGACATGCTGGGTAGGGAATTGGTCTCCCGCAGGCATAGACGTCACCTGGGCCAACAGGCAGCACAGCACCCTCACCTGTTGAGAAGACCCGGGCAGCGCTCAGTGACCACCTGCTGGATTGGGCTGACCGAGGGGGGGGCCCCAGTCACATATCCCTCTGTGCTCAGGCACCTGTTCCTCTCACCCTGCCATTGTCCCTCATTCTCCACCTGGAGTTTCTGCTCCTAGGGGGAGGAGCCTCGGTGGTGGAGTGGTGTAACCACTCTGAGCGCCAACCCCTCCACCCTGTGGGAGAGAGACCTGGTGATCTGCCCCCATAAAGATCACAGCCCCAGAAAGCACGTGCTCTCCGGGAGGCAGAGTCAAGTAGACAACACCAAAGCTGTAGAGAAACTGTGTGCCTTACGTTGCCCATGTGAAGGTCAAGGCGTCCTTTCTCTGGAGAGTGTCCTTCTGGTGCACACCCAAGAGGGCATGTCACATTGTTTTGGGGATGTTTTCCACAGCGTTAGGTTTAGTGCATTAAAACAGTCTCGGCCCCAGCTCCCTGTTGGGACCAGCAGAAACGGTCTGTTAGCTGGCTGGTCACTTCACCTGCCTGCCAACACCTCCTCCCGTGTAGAAGGAGAGCAATCATTGTCTCTGTGGTTTGAACCCACTGTGGAGGAAAGCGGTAGCACCCTGTTGCCGTGCAGATTAGCCTTGGAAGCCCTGTGGGGAAATTCTGCTCTGTCCCATAGGGTCGCCCCAGTCGGAAAGGACTCTGCAGCAGCGGGCTTATGCATGTATACACACACTTGTACGCAGGGGCTTCCCCACAGAATTTCCTATAAAGTGAAACCGAACTAAGCTTTGCCCGGTAACTAGCAACCACCTACGTCAGGGCCGTGGCTTCTGTGATTCCCTGTTCCTTGGAGCACACCTCTACCCACGAGGGGATTGGGGCTCTTTCCTTCAAGGTGGTTGCCTGCTGGAGGGCTGGAGGGCTGACCCCTTTTTTCCTTCAGGTCTCCCCTCAGAGAAGCCATCCTCAGTCACCCCATTTCCCACACCATGTCATGTCACATTGTTCGTTTACGTCCTTCTTGGGAGCGATCGCTGTTTGTAAGTGCTCCGTCTGTTTGTCTCTCTCCCCGCTACTCCTGTCCGTCAGTCTTCTTTCTGTGGAACGTCAGCCTCAGGAGGGCTGGGGCCGTCTGGTTCACTGTGCTCCAGAAAGTGTTGCAGACACGGGCACAGAGGAAGTGTACAGGACATCAGTCGAGTACGTGCGGGAAGCATGTCAGCCTCAGAAAGACGAGGCTGCCCTCCCGTCAGAGTTCCCCTCTCGGAAACCCTGGGTGGGTGCACTGTGTGTCAGAGTCGACTAGAGGGCAGCACTGGTAGTTGCTCTTGTAGTTGCAGTTCATAGACAAAGAAGCTGAGGCTTAGCGAGCTGAATTGTTACCCAAGGCCAAACTTTGCACCCAGGTCTACCTGCCTCCGGACCTTGGCTTCTCTTCTCTTCCTTGCCTCGGGCCTTGGGGTGAGGAGCCATTTAAGCCACTGTGTTGACCTTTTCTGTAAGGCACGTCCCAGTCCCACTGCTGGCCACCTTGACCTTGGCTTTCCTCCCTCTAGGTCTGTTGTGTCGGGTCTGGACTCCCCTGCCAAGACTAGCTCCATGGAAAAGAAACTTCTCATCAAAAGCAAAGAGCTGCAAGATTCTCAGGACAAGTGTCACAAGGTATTTATCTCTGCAGCCGGCCTCCCTCCTTGCTCCAGGATCCTCCCGTCAATGTATGCCACGGGACCTGTCTGGGGCCACTGCTGGCGCTGAGCCACCTGATCTGGAGAGAGCGAAGTGCTCCCTCCCTCGCTGAAGTCGCCTCTCCACAGCTCAGAGGGAGATGAATTTGGGCCTTGACATTACCGTAAATCCTTTAACCAAAGGAGGCCTTGGATTTAAAACGGCCCTGTCTCTCAGCATGACCCGCCTAGACGTCTGCTTCTTCCGGCAGGTGGTGTTGGTCCTCACCTTGGCCGAGCTGCACCCCATCTGCTCTCAGTGATACGAAGTCTCTCTTCCTAGTCTTTTAAAGCCTTCTGCTTTTGTAACTGCGGCCACTGTGCTGGTTATGCTCAACATCTCTTAACACACACGGTTCCTGCCCAGGGGCTGCTCTCTGGACGCTAACAAAAGCCACTCCTTGCTCGGGACTCCTAAGAGTGCAGACAAGTAGCTGTGCCCTTGGCCTGTCCTGGATTTGTCCTCTAGCTCTTTGCAAGGAGATGGGGGTGAATCAAGATGGCCTTGGGATAAAGTTAAAGTGACGTCTGCAGAAACCAAACCAAAAACAAACGGGCGAAAAATGGTGATTGTGGCGTCCTTGCTAACTGGGTTAGAGAAGTGATCAAGTGTGAATCCGAGCCTTGAATGAGAGGAGTGACTTAGCATTGGTGACTGATCCTTACGAAGAACTGTTGTCCACTCCCGGGTGAAGACAAAATGGTATTTCCATCCCAACTTCTGCCGCATGTGTGACAGCCCAGGCCACAGGGTGGTCTCCGAGGCTACTTGAAATTTTACTGCCCCAAAGGAGCCTCCACGGACCCTTCTAACCTGTCAATGTGTTTATTTCAGATGGAGCAGGAAATGACCCGGTTACATCGGAGAGTGTCTGAGGTGGAGGCTGTGCTTAGTCAGAAGGAGGTGGAGCTGAAGGCCTCTGAGACTCAGAGATCCCTCCTGGAGCAGGACCTTGCTACCTACATCACAGAATGCAGTGTGAGCCTTTCCCCCAGCCCCCTGCCCCCCTGGGCGGCAGCACTTCCTGTTGTGTGTGTCTCATCCTGTTTCATGATGCCTTGTGAGGCACATCAGAGCCAATGGTACAAAGGAGAGAGACAGACAGAGAGAGGAGGTGGCTCCTGGTGCCACAGCAAGTGCTGTTGTTTGCAGAGTAGTGTGACCGAGGTGTGAGGTCCTGAGAAATGAAGAAGTCCAGGTAGCCCACTAGCATGCGAGATCCTGTAAGTGTGAGCATGGCACTCTTGCTCAGAGAGTGCAAAGGGTCCTAACATCTTACTTCTCCACCTCTCTGGTCTGCATTCTGTCCAACGTCATCAGCCTCGGGAATCTGTCTCCCAAGTGTGTACAAGACACCATGTTGTGAGTCTGCCTGAAATCATTTTTTCATTGCCTAGAACCAGCTTAGTGACAAGAAAGCCCAGCTTTGACAAAACAGACCCTTCTGCCATTATTTACCATGTGACTTTTATTTTTTCCTTCACCGGAGTAGACTGTCTTCTCCATTGTCTTGTTCACTTTTTTCATTCCAGGTGTTTTTGTTTTGTTTTTAATGTGCCCAATGGAAACAGCCTTAAGAAGTTGAATCACACGTTTTGAGAGGTTTCTTATGTGTTTTTTTTCACAAGGGAGAGGAAGCTGCTAGAACGTGGCTGCTTCGGAAGAACTGCCCCGCTTCCATTCCAGACATGGCTGCCCGTTGCCAGTGGCGGGTGTAGTCACTCAGCTCTGCGTCCCAGCTGGGTATCTCAGTGCCTTGAAGCCTGGAGGGAGCCTGATGGATGCAAGGTGGTCCCGAAACAAGGCAGGAGGTGGAAGGGGACTAGTTAGGGCAAGAGTACAGTAGCTTCTGCTCTGGAAGGAAGAGGGGTGTGTGCTTGAGGGCCCCCCTCCCCCCACCAGGTGACCGTACTGAAGAAGACACACTATAGCCATCCCAACCCTCATGGTTCTGAGTTCGGGATCTTACTAGCCTTTGGTCCTGAACATGCCAGTAAGTATCTCTTAGGAGAGGTCGATGGTGGTAGAACACAGGCTGATGGAATTTCAGGCTGGATCCATTGGGTCATGAAGCTGAGATGATGGTTTTTTTTGCACTGGGGGAGTTTTACAGGACAAACGCCGGAACCCGCAAGCCGCCTGGAAGCCGTGGAGTTCAGCTCCGTCCCTGGAACCCGGCTTGGGTCTGCTGAGCAGCTCTCTTAATGAATCTTTTCACACCGAGCAGGATCTGCAGGGCCTCCCTATTAAAATTCTTGCTTTCTGCAGAGTTTAAAGCGAAGTTTGGAGCAAGCTCGGATGGAGGTGTCCCAGGAGGATGACAAAGCGCTGCAGCTTCTCCACGACATCAGAGAACAGAGTCGGAAGCTCCAGGAAATCAAAGAGCAGGTAGGACTGCCGCCCGGGAGCAGGGCAGCTCCTCAGCGCCTCTCAGACCTCTGGTTTCAGGAGGTGGCTTTGAGAGAGGGAGTGTATATAGGTCATTTGGAAACTCGAGGTTTCCTATGACTTTTATAAACCATAGATTGCTTGTTCCAACTCCTCTTGAAGACTGCATCCCAAAGTGTCTATTTGTTTATTTATTAGAAATGCCTGTGTTGTACATGGTTGGGACAACAGTAGCCCAGAGATCAAATCCACCCCTATCTCCTTGCGTCCCTAGGTAGTATGAAGTGTTAATACTTAGGGAAGCTGACCCAAAGGTGGGAGGTTTGAGTCCACTCTGAGGCATCCGGGAGCAAGGCCTGGTGAGCTAGTTTTAAGAAACCAGCCTTTGAAAACCCTGTGGCTGACAGTTCTACTCGGACACACAAGGCCGCGAGGAGTTGGCTGGTTTCTGGGCCACCTTTCTACAGCCTAGGAATGGTTCGGACATTTTCCAGAGGTTAGGGATGCTGCAGGGGATTCAAAAACAGACAAATACCTCATCAAATGTGACAGTGATGTGAAATTCACATTTTCATGCCCCTGAGTAAAGTTTGGTTGTAACCCAGGCATGTGTGCTCAGGTACGCACTGTCAGGGGCTGGGGCTGCGCTTCAGTAGCAGAGGTGAGCCCTGCGGCCCAAGTGAAGCCATCTGCAGCTTATTCCTTTCCAGGAAAAGTTGCCAACCCCCACTCCAGAGAAACAATAAAACACATTCAATATTTTAAAATCTTTTCCGTCTCTTTAAAGGCTTGAGTGGGGTTGGGATAATTCCTAGTTTTACATGGGTCCGAAACCTACTGGGAGGTGCGTTTGAGCCGTTTGGTAGAGTCCTTTGTCTCTCCTCAAACGAGAACCAAGACCTTTAACAAAGCCTACTCTTTTTATTTTTTCTTTGACAGTTTTTTTCATTTCCCCTAAACGGCCCATTTTTATATTGCCTCATTATTTCCTTTTTGGCATGGATTTTTCTGTCTTTTGAAGAAACTGTAAATAGAAACTTTAATGAAGAGATGGCAGTGAGTCATTGGAGAGTTGAATTCTCAGCTGCCAGGCGATTCTCATTCACTTCAGAAAATCTCATGGAGACCTTGATGGGAAGAACATCATCCCTCTCTGCGTAGCACAGACTTAGCCATCTGGGTCATGCTAACGTAACAACGCAAATTCCTTGATCCACTAATTGCTTTTGAAAGAAAGACTTCTTGACGTTGGGGTTGGGGTCAGCAGACCACCTTAATGTTGTAAAACGATGGGTGGGTATCTTCTTGCTCAGTCCAGGTGTTTCACTGGACTGTGCGCGGCACCGTGGCTGTGTGGTTATCACGGCTCAGAGGACCGCACGCAGTGGGAGGAAGAGCCTTAGACAGTTGACTCATACCCCTTTTATTAACAGTTCTTCATCCTAAAAGTTTCTGTTGGGGGGATTTTTTTTTTCTTCATCTCTCTCCCAGGAGTTCCATTGTGTTTTGAAATGCACTTCAGGTGGCATCCTGGGGCAATGAAAGCTGCCTCTGGCCACCAGAGGGAGCAGCTGGTGTCCACGAATTCCCTACACACAGAACTAGCAGGACACTGTGAAAAGTTCTATGCTGGTGGTTGAGTTCAAAGAAATGCCTTTTATGATTCAGATCCCAGTTGGAAAGCATGGGGAGTTTTAGATTTAATGATAGCGAAAAGTTCCATGGATGGACGGAGACACTTCCTGGTCTTAGATTTGATTTCTCCTCGGAAGGAGCATTTATTAAAATGACTTTTGGAAAGTTTTGTGAGAGCAGGATGTTTGGAAGTCAGAACAAAGCATTTCACACTCGGAGCTAACTCCCAGTATTTGGTGCGCAGCATATTGATGCCCCCCAGGGCTGGCATTTATAGTCCCTGCTCTTTCTTGCCAATGCTAATTTTCAGGACGGCTAACAGCCATTGCTCTGTGTGTGTGTGTGTGTGTGTGTGTGTGTGTGTGTATAAAATATTTTGCTCCTGCATAGTTTATACTCTACCCCCACCTTTCTTGCCCTTATGGTACAGTATTTGGCTCTGGTTTAAAATGAAATAAAACCCCCTCAAGTCTCCTGTGATTGGGAGATTTCGGAACCATTACTAGCAGTTGCTGATTCTTTCCTCCTCACTCAACCTCCCCAGGAAGGGAAACACGCTCGCTCGCTCGCTCGCTCTCTCTCTGAACCTTTGATGTTCAGAATATCTGTTTGAGAAGGCTATGCCTAGTCTTTCCTTCTCATAGAATTTGGCAGTTCCATTTAGAAGACTTTCAGCGACCTCAAAATTTGTCCATGACTCCCTACTCTGGCCTCACTCGGTGATTACCCACAATTCTTTTTGTGCTGAGACACTAAAGCTCAGCTCCCCTGATTATCTTCTCTGATTTTTCCTCAAGCAGGGATTTGGTTAGCTGCTGGATTTACGGGATTTCCTGAAGTATCCAGCTTAATAACTGGGGATCAACACATGAGTTCGAACTCCTTTTGATGCTTGTCACAGGCATGGGGTCTCCAGAGCTGGAAGAACTGACGGAGATGTTGCCTGGTTCTTGCCTTCCCCTGGGTGCCGACAGCTCAGGAAAGGGAGATGTTGTTAGGGCAAGGAGTAGATGCTGTGCCCCAACTCTTGACAAAACACTACATTTGTGTTACTTTCTTTTTGTGTGTGTGTGTGTGTGTGTTACTTTCTTGATTCAGGTGTTTTTCAGTTCTGTTTTGATCTAAGAAGTTCGTTTTGGAAAAGGTTTGGATCACCATAAAGGGTGCAAGGGAATGTTTTCCTTGGATGTTTTTTCCCCTCAGAAGTTATTCTGACATAAAGGGAGCTTGAGGGTGAAAAAATGCCCAAGGTGTCTTTCAGCTCTGCATTCTTAGTCTGTCTGTGGGCAGGTGTGCCTTGTCCATTGGATTCAGCAGGCAGAGTACTTGGTGCCCGTAGGCTTTTAGAATATTTCAGTTTCCTTGAAATCAGGAGAAAAATTGAACTCTTAAGGTGAAAACATTTTTCCTTGTGTCATATTAACATATCATTTTTTATCAAGGAAGTTAGAAGATGCAATTTTAATACCTCTTTTATGGAGAAAGGGAATTAGGGTACTTAGGGCTACCAGCCCTAGCTCTTGTTATGTCGTGCCCCCAAATTGATTTTAACTCACAGGGACCCCAGATGACAGAGGAGGCCTGCCTCGTGGGTCTCGGCTCTAACCCTCATAGGAACAGGCCATGGGTCTTTTTTTTTTTTAATCATTTTATTAGGGGCTCATACGACACTTATCACAATCCATACATACACCAATTGTGTAAAGCACATTTCTACGTTCATTGCCCTCATCATTCCCAAAACATTTGCTCTCCACTTAAGCCCCAGCATCAGGTCCTCATTTTTTCCCCTTCCTCCCTGCTCGCCCCTCCCTCATGAGCCCTTGATAATTTATAAATTATTATTTTGTCTTATCTTGCCCTGTCCGACGTCTCCCTTCACCCACTTTTCTGTTGTCCGTCCCCCAGGGAGGAGGTCACATATAGATCCTTGGCATCGGTTCCCTCT